TTTTCAAAGTTTTTTTAAAAGAAATTATTTCTTATATTTAAAATATAAATAGGCTACCCCTAAGGATAGAACTTCTCCTGAAGAGGCTTATAACAATAAAATCACGTGCTGTAAAATGTATTTTGACAAAATTTTAATAAACCTGACAAGTATCAGCATCTAAAACCTTTCCTCATTAGACTGAGTCTCATTTGTAGTTAAATGTCGTAATACAACCATATAAACAACTGAGGGAAAAGCTTTAGGGTTTTCTCAACAACTTCCTGGGATGAAGCAGTGCATATTCAGGATGGCAACTTATTGCACAGGCACAGAGCTGTGCTGCTAGCCAATTTCAAAACTCTCAGAGAAAGGCAACCCAAAGGCTCTCCATTCCTGATCTTACCAGTTCAGGGCAGTTCATGGTCCCAAACCGATTAAGGTTTTATGGGTCAAACGAAGGACATGTAGTGGGTTGAGAAACCACCAGTAAGCAATGCAGTTGATGTAGTACAGTCTCATAAAATCCGTCAGCTTGACTCCCAGCAAGATTTGGGTAGCTGCATTTTGCTCCATCTAAAGTTTCTGATCATCTTCAAAAGCAGTTGCGCACACAGCATGTTGCAGCAGTCTACTCTGGACTGCACTAGTGCATGGTTGACTGAAGTTGGCTTTCTTAAGTTACAGAAGGGTGTCATTTTGAATGCTGAATGTTTTTGTACTTTTACAGATTTGCGCACTGAGCAGAAAAAGTTAAATCTATTATGTTCAAAGTCAAACTCTTGCAGGTGGAAATAGGTGAGGTCCACTTCTAGATTCAAATATCAACAATAAGCCTAACCTGAAAAAAAAATTGGGCATGCATAGTTCCTAATGGATTCAACAAAAAGGATCAGTGGGATTGCACAAGTATAGGCAAATAATTTAGGTATCATTTCTGTTCAGAAGAGGGTGGGGTTTTTTTTGTTTAAGTTGGACTGGCTTGCCAGAGAAAACCACAGCAAAGACAGAAATAAACCCTTAGTTTAGAAAACAAATTGCATTGCTTTCTGAGGACGACAGATTTTCCAGTGTGGTTGGAAAAAGAAGTTCCACTGTGAATTGATCCACTAATTTCTAGCTCAGATTGGTTTCATATGAATTCATCCATGAAGCTATTTTATTTTGCTTCTGTATCAGTATGTGATTCTTTTTAAATGAAAATTGGTATTATATAAGATAATTTTAAAATTCCATTTAAATCTAACATACATGTTTGTATAAATTCCATCTGAAAATACAGATTTATTCGTGCATATTAATAGTAAATATGTATTTTATACACATTTTGGTTTTGTGTTTTTATGCCAAGATCTGTATTTAAAACTTAGAGAAATATGGAAACAAAATACTAGTGATAATCTGGTTGGTTGAATGGTAAAAAAAAATAAAGGACTTTTATCATTTGTACCACTCGCTGTCTTGCATAGATAAGAAATGGGAAGATATACATATATCTTGCATTTTTCCCTAGTTCAATATGTAACAAATGAATTGATTTATTTATACATTGAACTAGGAAAAAATATGCAGTATATATTTGTTGATTAATTTTAAAATGGTTTCAACTGGAAAATAAATACTTTTACAGAACTTTTGTCCTGAAGGTTTTAAAGATAAAGTAGTTGAGGTAGAAATACTTTTCCTGTGGCCAATTTCACAATTTTATTCAGTCTATTATTCAAGCCAATGGAATAATCCCCCAATTACCAAAACAATCAGAAATATTGTTCCATGGGATTTGACTATTTATTTACAATATGTTTACTACTCTATGTAATTTCAAATGTACTGTTTCAGTTTGGGAACAGCTATTTCTTGTCAGACAATAAATCATAAATAATACATTCTACATAAACATTCAATAATCTCTTCTGATGTGATTTTGGAATGATTACTAATGGTTTATTAGTGTAAAATATATAGTACCCATGTATTTTTCATCAGTTTTTAAAAAGTTGTCCAACAATGAAAGAGCTTTGTTTCTAGTCTATAAAATGAACTATATTCCTTCTTTTTTCATCTTTCTCCTTCTGTTGACATCATAGTCAATTGCTGTGGATTTTCATTGTCCTCTGGGAATGGAAGTGAGCAAAAGTATAGATCATTCTATAATGGATGCAGCATATATGACAGAATCGATTTTAAACAAAAAATAAAACATAGGTGTCAATTCCTATGTTAGAGAGAGAGGTCATATACTTCATACAGAACTGAAAAACTAAAAATCCATAAAATGGTGTGGCCAGAAGTAGGCTGTATTTGAGGGATCAGAAGAAGAAACCTGGTCTCCTGACCTGTCAGGTCACAGGACACCACAGTGATATCACAGGAAGTGGCAAGTCATTTTTTAATGAGCTGGGAGAATTTTAAGGGTGGGAATGAGAGTGGAAGGCCACTGGGGTGACACTGCTTCCTTTCCCACCCTTAACTGTCCCCCCAAATTCAAAAACAGCCCCAAATTAATCCTTTCTCAGCACCCAAAGAGCTACTACTATTCATTCACATTTGGGGAGATGGTGAATGGAAGAAATTTGTTTCTCAGAAGCTTCCTGTTCCCTCTCCTGTCCTTAATTTGCTAAAAATATAAACACTGGAGAGTCAAAAACAGATCCTTTTGCCACCAAATTTCAGCAGCATAATTTCACTGTGTGGGGAAAGGGGCACAAATTGGGTGCTGGACTCTGTATGCTGCCCGTGATTTCCTATCCCTGCGGTAGGATATGATGCAGCAATGTAGGTATTTCCAATGTTGTTATATTAATCAACAGTAGTATAAGAGGAGCACTCCTGTGCTTGAGTGGGATAATAAAGAAATACATGGTTTCAAATAATTGGTGAAATGTACTGTATATAATTCTTAAAATAGTTACAAACAGTTTCGCAAATGAAGATGTACTGGAATGGGGAATTATACAATAGGTGCTCATTTAACTTTTAACAGAACACTTTACAAAATTGGGAAAACATTACACGTTCATAGTGAGAAAGTATTGGAATGGATCCAGACTCAGAACGGTCCCACTGAATTCAATGAGACTTAAGTCAGTCATGATTAACTAAGATGGAGTACCTTAACTAATTATTTGGATGGATCTATTCCAAGTATCTGAATTTAGATCCATGAATGTAAAGAGGTGGGGGAAAAAATGGACTCTCTCTGCAAGACAAATCCCAGAATCAGAAAAGATCTTGGTCAACAACTAAGTAACAACAGTTCCACTAAAAATTCTACAGAAAGCCCCCAAATTATAGACCTAAGTGTTTTTTTGTGGGTGCAGTTACCCTTATCCAGAAGCATCCTGATTAGATTAGTTGCAAAGCACAAATGAAAACATGAAAGCACACCTTTTTTCTATGCTTGTATTTTAAAAGAAGAAAATTAAACTTGTGCAAAAAGAAATACTTAACATTTAAAAAAACAGCTGGAGGTGATTTAAAAAGCAGTTGCATGGCACCAATTTTATGTGTTTTTTTTAAACATGATCATTTTGGAAGATAATATTTGGCTAATCTTCTACGTCCTGATCTGAGAGATATTATAAAACATCATGAGAAAGCAAAGAATGAAAGGAGATACTTTGCCTGCTGTCAAGTGTAACAACTTGAATACTGTCAAGTGTAATAACAGCTTATTAAAGTAGCCCCACACAGAACACACTGTAGTAATTTAACTGGGAGGTAACATGGGATTTTGGACACAATAAACATTATCCTTTCTGAAAATTCTTAGAGTTCCTGTTTTGTCTCCTTGTACACACTTGAGAATTAGCTCATTCCACTTCTAGTAAACAAGCATAAGATTGATAGAAACGGTATTTGCATTTGATGGGATTACCTCTGTGGAGGAAGTAGGATCAATGTTTTATAATTAAATCATAAAATGTGGAGCTGTAATCAACAGGACTGTTAATATTACTTTAGACTGAATGGATCCAGGATAGATATGTTCTTCTTGGCAACCATGTATCTTTAATATTTGGAATCTATCAAGGCATCAAGAACTGGTTGTTTTAAGCAAAGGGACTGGCTACATGAATTATCATACAATATTGGAAGAAGTTGTAGAATAAGAAATCTACATCTATTCTGCAACAATGGATTAAGGATACGTTGTCAAGATTTGAATTCATTTTTCTGAAAAAGGAAGCAAACTTTCAAGTAATATGGTCAATGTTTTTAAAGAAGCTTTGAGTATAAGGATTTTTTCTTTTCTTACCTTAGAAACACTGACAAATCTTAGGTTTTATCTGGGATAGTATAACGTTATCCTTGACATCTTGCATAATTAACTGAAGGTAATTTTTACTAACCAAGTTACACATGGCTGTCAGCCTAATTTCATGTCATTTTTGGATTACAGGTAGTCCTCACTTAACTACCTCAATAGGCACTGGAAAATTGGTTGTTAAGTGGGGTGGTCGTTAAGCAAGTCATCACGTGACCAGACCAATTTTACGACCATTTTTATGTTGGTTATTAAGCAAATCATGTGGTCGTTAAGTGAATCCAGCTTCCCTAATGGTTTTTTTGCCAGAATTTGCTTAACAACCACGTGTTTTGCTTAAGGACTGTGGTGAATCACTTAATGACTGCAGTGATTTGCTTAATGACCATCATAGAAAAGGTTGCAA